CACCTTCCAGAGTTTTTCTATGCATATTTATACATGCATTACAAAAATGGGATCACATCATGCATACTGTTTTGTTACCTATTTCTCCCACTCAACAGTATATTGTGAACATCAGCACATACAGATACACATCGTTTTAAATTGCAGTGCCGTATTCCACTGTGGGCCTACCTGTCCCCTCATTTGCTAAACTAATCCTCTCTCGATGGACAGTTAGGTTTTCAATTGTTTGCCATCACCGGCAGTGCTGTGATAAATATTCCCATACACATATCTCTGCATACTTGAAGAGTACATTTCTGGAAATGGAATTGTTGGGTCAAAGATGATGTACTCTCTAAAGGCTTTTGATGTAAGGAGTAAATAGCTCTTCTGTCATCATGGTAGGAGAAGGACCATTTCCCACTCCTCTAGATAACCCTGTGTAATAATTTTTCTTTATATTTGCTAATCTGATTGGTAAATAATGATATCTTATTATTTTTATTTTTGAGACACAGTTTCACTGTTGCCCAGGCTGTAGTGCAATGGTGTGATCTCGGCTCACTGCAACCTCTGCCTCCCGGGTTCAAATGATTCTTCTGCCTCAGCCTTCTGAATAGCTGGGATTACAGGCATGGGCCACCACACCTGGCTAATTTTTGTATTTATTTATTTATTTATTTATTTTTTTGAGACGGAGTTTTGCTCTTGTTACCCAGGCTGGAGTGCAATGGCGCCATCTCGGCTCACCGCAACCTCCGCCTCCTGGGTTCAGGCAATTCTCCTGCCTCAGCCTCCTGAGTAGCTGGGATTACAGGCACGTGCCACCATGCCCAGCTAATTTTTTGCACCTTTAGTAGAGACGGGGTTTCACCATGTTGACCAGGATGGTCTCGATCTCTTGACCTCGTGATCCACCTGCCTCGGCCTCCCAAAGTGCTGGGATTACAGGCTTGAGCCACCGCGCCCGGCAATTTTTGTATTTATTAGTAGAGGTGGTGTTTCACCATGCTAGCCAGGCTGGTCTCAAACTCCTAACCTCAAATGATCTGCCCACCTCAGCCACCCAAAGTGCTGGAATTACAGGCCTAAGTCACAGCACCCAGCCTTTTTCTTTCTTTGGTTATAAATAAGGCTAAGCTTTTTGTCATGTCGGTTGGCTATTTGTATTTCTTTCTTCATTTACTTAGCCTATCTTTCACTAAAGTGACCATCTTTTTATTTATTTATTTAGAGATGCGTTCTTGCTATGTTGCCCAGGCTGAATTCAAATTCCTGGGCTCAAGTGATCTCCCCACTTTAGCATCCTGACGAGCTGGGTCTACAGGTGTGTGCCACTGCACCCAGCTTTATTTTTTTATTTCCAGATAAGAGATCTTTGTATATTATGGATATTCCCTTTTATTTGATTTGTGCTATTTATTTTTTATGAATTCCTCTATGGCATATACAGTATATAACAGATATTTTTCCAAATTTGTTGTTTGCCTTTTAGCTTTGTTTATGGATATATTCTGTTATATTGAGGGGTAAATCCTTCATCTCACCATGTCTATCACTCTTTTCTCTTTATTTATTTATTTATTTTTGAGACAGAGTTTCACTCTTGTTGCCCAGGCTGGAGTGCAATGGCGAGATCTCGGCTCACCACAACCTCTGTCTCCTGGGTTCAAGCAGTTCTCCTGCCTCAGCCTCCTGAGTAGCTGGGACTATAGGCACCCACCACCACGCCTGGCTGATTTTTGTATTTTTAGTAGAGATGGGGTTTCACTATGTTGGCCAGGCTGGTCTCAAACTCCTGACTTCATGATCTGCCTGCTTCGGCCTCCCAAAGTGCTGGGATTACAGATGTGAGCCACCGCGCCCGGTCGTCTATCACTCTTTTCTCTTAGCTTTCTGCCTTGAGATTATGGTTCTGGTGTGTGGAGGAGGCTTCTGTAAGTGAATGCTGTTGGAGGAAGCTAGTGTGTTAGTGCTGACTCAGAATCTGTAAATCTAGCCCTCAGCTCTACACTCCCACATCCAACAGCCAATTCACCATGCTTACCTGGAAGTTGAATTCACGTCAGTCACTCTTGCCGTGTCTCTCCAAACCTTGATTTCCATTCTCTCCCTCCCCAGATCTGCTTCTCCAACTCAGTGTTCTTCATTCAGGAAAAGACCCATCTTCACTCAGCTGCTTAGGATGGAAAATTGAGTTATCCTATTTTTTTTTTTTTGGCCTCTTTTTCTCACATCTTATAACTAAGCTATCAGCAATCATGCTGATTCTACCTTCAAACTACCAGAATCTGACCATTTTTTATCACCTCCTCCCACTCTAGTGAAGGCAGCATGGTAGCCAGCCTGAACTTCTGCGGTATCCTAGAGGCCTGCTCTCTCTGCTTTTCTTCTTGCACCTCTGCAGTTTATTCTCTGTAGAGCAGCCAAATTGAGCTTTTAAAAATAAATCATAGACCAGGTGTGTTGGCTCACGCCTGTAATCCCAGCACTTTTGGAGGCCAAGGCAGGAGGATTGCTTGAGCCCAGGAATTTGAGACCAACCTGGGCAACATAGTGAGACCATGTCTCTATAGAAAATTTTAAAAACTATCCTGGCATGATGGTGCACACCTGTAGTCCCAGCACACCCGTGAGGCTGAGGTAGGAGGATTGCTTGAGTACTAGAGATTGAGGCTGTGGAGAGCCAAGACTGTACCACTGCACTTCAGCCTGGGAGATACAGCAAGACCTCGTCACAGAAAAAAAAAACAGAACAAAACAAAAAACCCATATCATACTATGTTACTCCCCTCAAGACCCTCCAGGGGCATCCCATCACACTCAGGATAAAATCTAGATGGGATTTCCACTGAGCCATAGGATGACAATGGGCGGTGGAGCCCTCTGGCTAGTGGCCCCTCTCTCTCCAACCTCACCTCCTTCACCTGCTCCCTCGGTCTGTGCTCCATCCACCCTTGTTTTCTTGCTGCTCTACAGTCACAGCCTGTCCATGCCCCAGGGCCTTTGTCCTTGCTGTTCCTTCTGCCTAGAAATTCTCCCCGAGAGCTCCACGTACCTCGCTTCAAGTTTCTGCTCAAATGTCAGAGAGCCCTTTCCTGACCACATGTTCTACAACAATTTCTCCTTTCCCTCTTGTCATCCTCCTCCCCTGCCTTATTTTTCTTCAGAGACTGTATTCCTGTCTGACATTAGTACATATATTTTTATTCATTGTTATACGTCCCCCTACATCTAGGAATGTAAATTCCATGAAGCTAGGGACATTGCTATTTAGTAAGTGGGTGCTTAATAAATATGCGTTGGATGAATATGTGTAACATAGAAATGGATGTGTGTGAGTGTAATGTTTGTGTGTAGATGTCTCTGCTGCATGAATAGATATGAGCATGTCTGTGTGTGGAATGGTGGGGAAATGACATTTTGTGTCTGTGACTAGGCCAGCTCTATGAATGCCTTGACAAAAATGTCTGCGTACGTGTATTTGTGCACGAAATGTGCGTGTGCTTGCCTGCAGCCGTGTGTGATTCTGTATAGCCTGCATCCATTTCAGTGAGGAGCTGAGATACCTGCATATGTCTTCCTTTTATCAAATGGACCTACCATTGCCCCAGCCTTTTCTTTTCACCTCCCACACTTGGGAAATAGGAAACACTGTTGTGTTTGGGGGAGATTCCAGATGTGGAATCAATTCCAAAAATGACATTTCACACTGCTGCAGAGAGGGTGAGGGTCCGGATGGGACCTTGGCAGCCTCCTGCTGACGGCGGAGCTGCCTCAGAAGTATGGAAGTCTTCTCTTAGGAATGGAAGATTTCCTTGGGACAATTGGCCATGAAAGAATAAGACTGCAGGAATGTGGAGTGGGGCAGGCCCTGGACTGGCTGTGTGGCCTCAACTTGTCGCTGTTCTTTCTCTAAGCCTCCGTACTCAGCTGCAAGTGGGGCTCATCATTCTTGGTTGGCTTGCTTCTTGGAGCTACAGTGAGAATAATGGGAGGTAATGGCAGTGAGCATATGACAGTCATAACAGTATTCTTACGTTTGTGCTGGATATTAGGGTTTATCTCATTTCAAAGCAAATGCCTCAGTGGGGAATCTAGCTCTAGGCTTGGCTCCAAGTGGGCCTCAATGGGTATTGGTTGAATAAGTAATAAGTGTGTGAGTGAATCAATGAAGGTAAAAATGAGTAAGTGCCTGAGTAATTGAATGAAGAGATGATTGCATAAAGCAGCAAATGAATTTGTAAATCACGACGACTAACAGTTTGGAGTATATACTATGATCCAGTCCTTTGTAAAGTCTTCTCTTAATCCTTGCAGTAACCCTATGAGACAGGTACTGATATTAACCCCATGTTGCAGATAGAGAAACTGTGGGTCAGAGAAGTGAAGTGACATGTCCAAAGCCACAAAGCTCCTGAGTGGTGGAGTTGAGGTTTTAGCCTGCTCTGGGGTTCTAGCCCAGAGCCCTAAACCCACACTGGCCCTGCTGAGTGAATTAATGAATGAGTGCGTAAATGAAGGAGTGAATGCAAGAGCCCTCACATGGTAAGCCATGGTCAAGACAGGCTTCTTTCTATAGAGAGAGCTTCTGCCCAGTCAGAAGGTGGGCATCAGCCGGGCACAGTGGTTCACGTCTGTAATCCCAGCACTTTGGGAGGATGAGGTGGGCTAATCACCTGAGGTTGGGAGTTCGAGACCAGCCTGACCAACATGGAGAAACCTGTCTTTACTAAAAATACAGTAATTAGCTGGGCGTAGTAGTACATGCCTGTAATCCCAGCTACTCGGGAGGGTGAGGCAGGAGAATCGCTTAAACCTGGGAGGCAGAGGTTACGGTGAGCTGAGATTGTGCCATTGCACTCCAGATTGGGCAACAAAAGCAAAAACGCCATCTCAAAAAAGATAAAGAAGAAAAGAAAAGAAGGTGGGCATCCAGTCTGGACTGGGGGTGGGTCTCCCAGAGGCAGTCTGAAAGCCCTGCCTCATGTCTCTTTCCCTCTTCCATCTGTAGGTGGATGCCGCCATGCAGCACTACGGGGTGAATGGCTACTCGCTGCATGCCATGAACTCACTGAGCGCCATGTACAACCTGCACCAGCAGGCAGCCCAGCAGGCCCAGCATGCCCCCGACTACCGGCCTTCGGTGCATGCGCTTACATTGGCTGAGCGCCTGGCTGGTAAGGGCCCTGGGGACTGGACCACGGAGACAGAACTGTGGGGATTGGGGGAGGAGGTTCTGGAAGGCAAACAGGAGAGGGAGCACTGGGCAAGCTTCTTCTAGGCAGCTCCAAAAGACTCAGGTCACTTAGCACACAGAGACATGTCAATTCAAAGCTATGTGTGTATATCGAGAGCGTCTTTGTTTGCCAACACTGTCCAAGGCACTGGAGCTGCCCTGTGCCTTCAAATTCTCCTAACAAGCCCATGAGGGAGGCATGCATTCACAGATGAAGAAATGAGGTAGGAGGGCCCAGAGTATTCCAGCTGGGAAGTAGCTGGAAGATGCCCGGAGCGCCCAGGCAAGGAGAGTTCAGGCACAGAGAATTGTAAATAATGGCTTCTATGTTTTGACATCAACTGTGGGTTAGGCACTGTGGGGGTCTCTCTCTTTCTGTGTGTATCAAATCATCCAATCCCCATGTGGAGAGGTTAGTATTTCCATTTTATGAATGAGGAAATGGAGGCTCGGAGAGGCTAAATCTGGGCTGGGTGGGACATGGCTAAAAATATGAGCTTTGGAGTCCCAGACTTGAAGTCAGCTTGGGGTTTTCCCACTCAGCTCTCTTATCTGAGCCTCAGTTTCTCTTTCTATAAAAAGGAGACAAGGGCCATGCCCATCCCCTAGGGTGGTTGGGAGGTGATCTGTGATAACATATGCAAAGTATTCAGCAGAACCTTGAGCAGCTGGTAAACTCACATGGGCCCAGCCCTGTGCCAGGCAGGCCTCAGATAACTTCATACCCATAAGAGGGCACAACAAGAGGATGTCCAGGGTCAAATGCTGGGGCAGCTCAAAGCAACAGGATCAGCTGGGGTAGTCAGGGAGAGCTTTCTGAAGGCCACAGGGGCAGGAACCAGGCCTCAAAAAGGCATGGCAAGGAGTAGGGGGCCAACATGAGGAAAGGCACAGAATGGGAAGGGATCTGAAGACTCCACATGGGTAGCGGCACTGGCCTGGCAAGCAGAGCATGGCCAGTCTCACTCCCTTAGACTCTGCCAGGCCTCTGGGCAGAACTCAGTGGATAAAAGTTTCCCCGGACCAATGTGGAGGCATGAGTTTCTAGTGCGGGGATGTTGGATACAGTCCTGTGCCCAACCTGGTGGTGACATCAGCTCCTGACAGTATTCCAGGACCCGAGGACCAGAGCACAGAGAGGAGTCAGGGACAGGGACTTATGTCCGCCGGTGGGGGCAGAGGAACTGGGGTGTTCAGCCCACCCCCAGCTCTCTAATTCTTAAGAAGGAAGAACATGAACTCCAGGTGAGCCTTTGTATGGAAGCCTTGCCTTTCAGCAGAGGTTCTGCCCAAGGTTTAAAGAGTCTGGCTTCAGAAAATAAAATAAAATAAAATAAAATAGGAAAGAACAAAAAAAAGAAAACAAAACAAAACAAAAAAAAGAGTCTGGCTTCAGAAAATAAAATAAAATAAAATAAAATAAAATAAAATAAAATAAAATAAAATAAAAAGAAAGAACAAAAAAATAAAAGAAAACCAAAAAAAAAAAAAAAAAAAAAAAAAGGGTCTGGCTTCCCTGCGACACCTACACCCACTCCACCCCTGCAGTCCCTGGAGCCAGCAGTAGGATGCTGAGCTGTTGCTCCTCCCACAACCAGAGAGGGGCTGACAGAGCAGTCCCCTGCCCTCTTCCCCTGCCCCAGGATGAGCAGCAAGAGCTCAGGGCTGAATCAGGCCCAGGATTAAGGTCAGTCTGCGAGGGGTTCAGAGCTCCCTTTTTTTTTTTTTTTTTTTTTTTTGTTTTTTGTTTTTTGTTTTTTTTTTTTTTGAGACGGAGTTTTGCTCTTGTTACCCAGGCTGGAGTGCAATGGCTCGATCTCGGCTCACCGCAACCTCCGCCTCCTGGGTTCAGGCAATTCTCCTGCCTCAGCCTCCTGAGTGGCTGGGATTACAGGCACGTGCCACCATGCCCAGCTAATTTTTTTGTATTTTTAGTTGAGACGAGGTTTCACTATGTTGACCAGGATGGTCTCGATCTCTTGACCTCGTGATCCACCCGCCTCAGCCTCCCAAAGTGCTGGGATTACAGGCTTGAGCCACCGCGCCCGGCTCAGAGCTCCCTTTTTAAGCTGGAGAAGTATCTCAAAGTCTGGGGCTTCCTGGATACCAAGTTGCCTCTTCCTTTTTTTAGATGGAGTTTCCCTCTTGTTGCCCAGGCTGGAGTGCAATGGTGCCATCTTGGCTCACTGCAACCTCTGCCACCTGGGTTCAAGTGATTGTCCCACCTCAGCCTCCTGACTAGCTGTGATTACAGGCATGCACCACCACACTTGGCTAATTATTGTATTTTTAGTAGAGATGGGGTTTCACCATGTTGGCCAGGCTGGTCTCAAACTCCTGACCTCAGGGGATCTACTGGCTTCCCAAAGTGCTGGGATTACAGGCGTGAGCCTCTGCACCCGATCTTTTATTTTTTTGAGACAGAGTTTTGCTCTGTTGCCCAGGCTAGATGGAGTGCAGTGGTGTGATCTCAGCTCACTGCAACCTCTACCTCCTGAGTTCGAGGGATTCTCCTGCCTCAGCATCCCTAGTAGCTGAGATTACAGGTGCCTGCTACCATACCCAGCTACTTTTTTGTACTTTTAGTAGAGATGGGGTTTTGTCACATTGGCTGGGCTGGTCTTGAACTCCTGACTTCAGGCGATCCACCCGCCTTGGTCTCCTAAAGTGCTGGGATTACAGCCATGAGCCACCGTGCCTGGCCGCTTCTTCCTATTTAGGGTGTTGTGGATGATTTCCCATTCCCTGGAGTGCAGGGGAAGGACTCTGGCAGCCCTACACAGAGGCTGAGATGACTCAAGTTCCCTTCAGCACAGACAGGGCAGGATCCAATTATGACATGATGGGAGGCAGTGAGGAGAGAGGTTACTGTCTATCCTCCAGGAGCTATTCAAGCAAAAGGGCTGAAGGCTAGACCCCAGGATGGAGGCTAGACCCCAGCCCCAGGCAGGTACCTGTCCTGGGTGTTATCACATTACCAGACATGTGGACGGTACCGTGGAATCAGTGGTCCATAGTCCTGTCTCCCCTCCAAGCCTGCAGTGGTTAGAACCTGATCTCTTTGCCCTTCTGTCCTTGGGGAGGCAGCCACAAGGGTCAAGACTGAGTACAACAAGCCTTACCTGAGACCTAAGCCCTGCTGCCCCCCCCTGCTTTATTCTTCCCCCCAGCCAGGCTCTCTGTTCAGGAAACAGAAGAGCAGGAGCCTCAGGCCCTGCCATCAGAGACTGTAGGCCAGCCGGGATGAGGTGGTTTACATGCAGAGAACAGAGGATGGAGTGCCAGTGAATTCCATTTGCCTAGTCAGTCCTCCCTTAACTAGACCTTGAGATGGGTACCAGCTCAGCCTGGCTTCTCATGGGCCGAGACCAGTACTCTAATGCTAAAGATGTCTTAGTGTTCAGAATCTAAGGGCTGTAGGGTCTTAGAACTCTTGTGATATAGACTTACAGATTATTAGCGTCATGGAGTCTCAAAATATACTCACGGTATCCATCTTAGGGCAATACCCACTTGCCCACCCCCAATGCCAAATAATGAAGACCCCCCCCCACCCGCCAATCGTATGCCTGACAGCCATTTGTGGAGTTGAGTTAGACCTCTGTGGTCCTGATACTGCATAATGGGGTGGAGAGACCTTGAAAGCCCACAGCCATATGGAGAGGGGATGGGTTATTTCTAAGGGCAAGGGACCAGGGCCAGCTCTGGCAGTAGCCTGGGTATCCACAGTGGGTCAGAGCAGGATAAGATTCAAAGCTATTTCCCGTAATTAAATGGGCCCCCTCTCCTTGCCCTCCAACGGCTGTACATTTCAAGACATCATCTTGGAGGCCCGTTATGGTTCCCAGCACCGCAAACAACGTCGCAGCCGCACGGCTTTCACGGCTCAGCAGCTGGAGGCCCTGGAAAAGACCTTCCAGAAGACTCACTACCCAGATGTGGTGATGCGTGAGAGACTGGCCATGTGCACCAACCTGCCTGAAGCCCGGGTGCAGGTAGGGCCCAACTCTCCTAATTAGGCCTTGCAGACAAACACCAGCCCATCAGTCTGGCCTTGTCCAGCAGCCAGCATGTCATCCCTGTGCCAAGGTGCAACTGACCGCTCCATCAAAGCCTTCGGTGATAGGAGGAGAGTTTGGGAAGGGACAGAGGGTGTGTGTTCCCTAGAGGGGTGGGGGCAATGTTACCACGTACCTCTTCTCCCGGAGCACCCTGCTCCACGCCAACCCCACTTCTTTCTTGCCCACCTCAGACTGCTCCTTTCCTGTCCCCAGGTGTGGTTCAAGAACCGCCGGGCCAAGTTCCGGAAGAAGCAGCGCAGCCTGCAGAAGGAACAACTCCAGAAGCAGAAGGAGGCTGAGGGCTCCCACGGGGAAGGCAAGACTGAGGCTCCCACTCCAGATACCCAGCTGGACACTGACCAGCCCCCACGTCTGCCTGGCAGTGACCCCCCTGCTGAGCTTCACCTGAGTCTGTCTGAGCAGTCGGCCAGTGAATCAGCTCCCGAGGATCAGCCGGACCGTGAGGAGGATCCTCGGGTAGGGGCTGAGGACCCCAAAGCTGAGAAGAGCCCTGGGGCTGAGAGCAAGGGGCTGGGCTGCAAGAGGGGCAGCCCCAAGGCAGGTGAGGTGTGAGGGGTGCCATGGGAGAGCTGGGGCCTGGGGGACCTGAGCGAGTGAAGCGGGTCAGAGGTAGGGAGGGAGTAATCAACTGCCCCTCAGGGGCATGGCCCATCAGAATGGACTGGCCACAGCAGGCTTGGGCCAGGTCTTCACCCTTTAGTTGCAGAGTTCTGGAAAGGTCCAGGGGGTACTGAGGGATGGGCTGAGTAGCAGAGGAAGGATACTGCCAGAGTTCAGGGCAAAAATTATTTATCAACCATTTGGAAGTATTCCAATTTCTTTTTTTGAGGCGGAGTATGGCTCTGTTGCCCAGGCTGGAGAGCAGTGGCGCGATATTGGCTCACTGCAACCTCCACCTCCTTGCTTCAAGCGATCTCCTGCCTCAGCCTCCGGAGTAGCTGGGACTACAGGTGTGTGCCACCACGCCTGGCTAATTTTTGTATTTTTAGTAGAGACGGGGTTTCACTGTGTTAGCCAGGTTGGTCTCAAACTCCTGACCTCAGGTGATCTGCCTGCCTCGGCCTCCCAAGTGCTGGCATTACAGGCATGAGCCACCACACCCAGCCAGTATTCCGATATTTTAACAACCAGTTGGATGTCCCTGTGCATACTGGGCAAATACTGCATTGGTACCAGAGATTTCCACATGCAGCAGAGACTTCGTGCATATTTCTGAAGGAACAGAGCTCTGGCATGAAGCATATCTCAGACACAAACCCTAAGCCCAGCAGGGAGGGGACGGGGCTGTGAGCTGAAGGTTGGAGGGAGGGAATGGAAGCACTGGGCAGGGGAGCGGGAGGGGAAGTTACAGCCCTTGAAAAGAAAAAGAGACAGACATGGGAGCCTTGGCAGGGCCCCCGGGGCTTTCCCAGGAAGCCTGGGTCCCTTTCTCTGAGGATTCTGAGCCTTGCTTCAGGGGATGCCCTGGCTGGGATGGGATGGATGTGGTTTCAGCCGAAGCCTGTCTTGTCTGTAGCGGTGAGAAGGCTGAGCGCACTTCACCTGGCAGACAAGTGCTCTTGTGTGAGTGCTTTGTTCTTGGGTTCTCTGCTTGCAGATTCCCCAGGCAGCCTGACCCTCCCTCCTGCGGCCCCAGGGGGTGGCCTCCTGGGCCCCTCCCACTCCTACTCCTCGTCCCCGCTGAGCCTCTTCCGTCTGCAGGAGCAATTCCGTCAGCACATGGCAGCCACCAACAACCTGGTGCACTACTCATCCTTCGAAGTCGGGGGTCCCGCCCCTGCTGCTGCCGCAGCAGCTGCTGCCGCTGTGCCCTACCTGGGTGTCAACATGGCCCCGCTGGGCTCACTGCACTGCCAGTCCTACTACCAGTCCCTGTCAGCAGCCGCTGCTGCCCACCAGGGTGTGTGGGGGTCCCCACTGCTGCCTGCACCCCCAGCGGGCCTGGCTCCTGCAACAGCTACCCTGAACAGTAAAACCACAAGCATCGAGAACCTGCGGCTCCGGGCTAAGCAGCATGCAGCCTCCCTGGGACTCGACACACTGCCCAACTGACTGTCTGGCCTCCAACCCAGCCAGGGGTCTTGGGTGTCCCCTCCTCACCCCGTGGTTATCTCCAGGTGGCTCTCAAGGAGTTAACTCCATGAGCCCAGGGATCCTAGGGCCTGGTGTCCTATTCCCTGCCCCGCTTTCCCATACCCAGCCCGAAGTGAAGCCCACACTTACACACCCTCTGCATGACCCTGCCTGGACCCACCCCCCAGGGAGCCGAATGGGGAGGAGGTGAGAGGCTGGGGCGCCCAAGCTGTCCTCTGGGAAGTGAGAGGCTCTCCCTGGCTAGATCCCTATCTCAATAGTGCCTCCTCCCTTTCCTCCCTCCCCTTTTGCCCCCCTAGTGAGTCTATGTGTGGAATGTGAGATATAAATATAAATATATAAAGCTATATTTTCAGGCACCTGCCTGCCCCAGGCCCCTGCCCTGCCCCCATCTCTTCTTCCCTCCCACCCTTGCCCTGCGGCCTCTGTGGCTCACTCTAGCCATCCCTTCTCTTTCCGCTTCTCTCTCCTTCCTTCTTCCCTTGATCTCCCTCTTCCGGTCTCTGTCCTGGTCCCTGCCCTCATCTCCACCCAGCCTCTGTATTCTCCACCCTTGATCTTTCTCCCTGTCTCTCCCCGTGCCCTTGGTTTCTTCCTTTAGTGCTGGCTGTGTTGGTGTCGTCAATTCTTAAGCTATGTTTTGTTCGGGCTTGTGGCTGTTTTTGGGTTTTAGTAATTTTGCTACTTCTCGTTCCACTCCTGTTCCCTCCCTTCTACCCTGCCTGCCTGTCTCCTCCCTGCACCCGCACCCTCTCTAGGCAGCTGTGCCTTTCCATGCCCAATAGAAGCAACAAGCCCCTAGCTGGAGACCCTGGGGATCTGGAGCCGCACGTGGGAGGTGGCACTGGCTCCTACTCCCACCCTCGCCCAGGCTGGCGTCTAGAGGGTGTCATGAATTACTTTCTCTTATCTCTTCTCAGTGTTGAGGTCTTCATTTCCAAGACTGAGAAGGCAGCAGTCAGGCTGGGCAGGCAGTAGAATGGCCAGCATTCCTGCCTGTAAATCCTCCAAAGACAGAGGCCTAGTGTCGGCGTTCAGCCAGGACTGACCACAGGGCTCTAGAGCTAAATTTGGAGAAACTTCCCTAGTTGGAGTGTGGCAGCAGGGGAAGAGGTGCTCTCAGAGACACCAGGGCTGGTGTTCCTCTCCCATAAGCCCAGCCTCCATATCCAGCAGGTACTGTCCATGGCAGGGGTGTGGCTGACCAGCAATGAAGGTTGAACTCTGCTCCCGCGCACAGTGCGTGTAAAGCATACAGCAGAGCATAGGCTTAGGCTTCTGTGGGCTTCCTGCCCCAGAGCCGGTTATGGAGGTAAGGACTTCTCTCCAACTAGTCACTAGCATGGAAAAGTGTGTTCCTGTTTATAGCCAGGAAACCCAGATTCAGCAAACTCCCTTTCAAAGCTGTGTGACTGACCAGGGGCGGTGGCTCATGCCTGTAATCCCGGCACTTTGGGAGACCGAGGCAGGCAGATCACCTGAGGTCAGGAGATCAAGACCAACCTGGCCAACATGGTGATACCCCATCTCTACTAATAATATAAAAATTAGCCAGGTGTGGTGGCATGTGCCTGTAATCCTAGCTACTCGGGAGGCTGAAGAGGGAGGATTGCTGGAACCTGGGAGGTGTAGGTTGCAGTGAGCCGAGATCATGCCATCGCACTCCAGCCTGGGCAACAGAGTGAGAATTCATCTCAAAAAAAAAAAAAAAAAAAAAAAAAAAGTTGTGTGACCTTAGGCAAGCCTGTAGCCTCTCTGGGTCTGTCTCCCTGTCTGGGTTAGATGGCTGTAAGGTCCTGGCCAGCTCTACTTTCTGCATTTTGTGCTCACAACCTTGCAGGACCGAAGTTTTTAGTTCAATTGACAATGACAGAAGGTTCTCAAAAGCACAATGTATGAATTAGAAAATTACTGTAGCCTTGCTGTGGAGCAAGGAGTGTTATACACACAAACCTCTCTGTAGACACTGCCTTAGTTTCCCCATAAGTATAATGGATCTTGTCTAGTTCAGACAATCTGGATTTGATCCTGATTTTCTTGAGTTCCAGTGCCAGTCTCTGGGGTCACCCCATTTTTATACCTTTGCATGATCTCAGGGGCTCTGGGCAGTGGGAAGGGATGGCTTGGACAAATTCTTGGTCATGCTCCCCAGCTCTTGGTGGCTCACCTTTGAACACTCCAACCTCTGTTTAAAGACGTTGATCTGAAAACCAGGGTAAAGATTCTTAAGGCTTGTCTCCTCTCTCAGTGGGAAGAGAGAGGTTCTGTTGGTGTCCTGGTAGGATTGGTTTGTGGAGAGTCAATGCCTATCACCCTTGAGGGGGTCTGCCTCGGCTGGGACAGATGGAGAAGGCTTCGGACAGGAGAAAAGTGAGGGGGATGGAAGTCTGGGCCAGGAGAACTGTTTGAACAAAGCAGCAGAGATGAGATTCCATAGACCACGGGAAAGGGGTGGCTGGCTTCACGAGAGGTGGGGCTAAGGGGCCTGGAACCTGGAATCCAGGCTAAAGACCTCACCTACATGTGGCAAGCACCAAGACAGGCAGCTGAGGGTTTCCGAATCCTCAAGTGTCTTGCTGGGTCTGGAATCTGGAAGGGGACTCCACCAGCCATGGGAGCATCAGAGAACAGACAGGCAGCACTGTGGGAAGTTGGCAGATTCCAGGAGGGACAGAGGAGGTTTTTGGTTTGGGAGGGGTTCTGTGGCCAATGGCCCATCCACTGTCCTCTGGGATTAGCTCCAGGAAGTTCTGTTTTTTTTTTTTTTGTTTGTTTTTGATTTTGTTTTTGTTTTTTTTTTTGAGACGGAGTTTCGCTCTTGTTACCCAGGCTGGAGTGCGATCTCAGCTCACCGCAACCTCCGCTTCCTGGGTTCAGGCAATTCTCCTGCCTCAACCTCCCGAGTAGCTGGGATTACAGGCAGGCGCCACCATGCCCAGCTAATTTTTGTATTTTTAGTAGAGACGGAGTTTCATCATGTTGACCAGGATGGTCTCGATCTCTTGACCTTGTGATCCACCCGCCTCGGCCTCCCAAAGTGCTGGGATTACAGGCGTGAGCCACCGCGCCCGGCTGGAAGTTCTGTTTTGAAAACAAAAAATAATCATCTGGTAAGGTATCGGAAGCTTCCTGGCTGATTTTAGACTGACGCTTTTTGTCAGTTCCTGGGTATGAGTGATTCTCACTGGGCCTTGGAATCCAACAGCCCTGGATATCACCACCTCCTCCAGGAAGCCTCCCCCGACCTCCAATGTTCTGTCATGGCGGGAGGCAGGCCCACTCAGGAGCAGCCCAACTTCCCTCAGATGTTTGTTAACACTTGTCCCATTCAATTGACCCAAATCTACAAACCCAGAGAAGGCGGGAAAGGTCTATGTGGTCCTGTCCTTGGAGGGCTCTCAAGTTTAGGGCACCAGCCTTGGGGGTGAAAGCAGCTGGAGAGCAAGAGCAGAGCACGCTCGTGTCTCACGCACACTGGTAAGTGGCACCATGCATCTCCTCCGAGCACACTTGTAAGCAGCACCGTGCATCCCTTCTGGTGGGCAGAGGGTACAGGCCCACCACACCTCATGCTGGAGCCCCTCCCAGGCCTGCTGGGCCAACCTGGGCCTGAGGCCAGAGGCTCAAGCTCTGACTGTCCCTTCGCAGAATGCAGAATGCCTCATGCCTGACCCCTCCCTCCTATCCAAGTCTCCCTTTCCCTGCTTCCTCACTCCCCCAGAGCATGGTCCAGGGACCTGGGTCCCACCCCAACTCCAAGGCTGGTGGGCTGTACAGACTGCTTTCCAAACCAGCTGTTTTGTGATCATTTGTGCTTAGAGGTCATGCCAGACCATGGCAAAAACACTGTGTACTGTATTTATTTATTCTGTTAGTTGAAAAAGCAAGACTTAATTCACCCCTGCCTGTCCCTTCCCCTGCCCCCTATGTAGTACAGCATGACACTCTGTGTATCTGTCCTTCTGTCAGTCTTATTCCCTGTGATGTTGTGACCTGTTCTTTGTCTTACCTGGCGAATAAAAGAGAACCCAGCAGCCCAGACCTCAGTCCATTTCATTCCAGAGATGCCTGCAGTGGGCTGAACAGGCGGGTCTCCAGATCTGTTCACTGCCCCTCTGTTGACGTGGCCAGTGGGGAAGGAGACTGGCCTACCTCGCTATTGGCATTGTCACTCCGACTGTGTAGCGTAGCTCTGTCTATGGCCCTTGCCACTCTGGTAGGGATGCCACTCTGGAGTGGCTGCAGGGGAGCAGATAATGGGGGAGGGTTCCATCTTCTCTAGGCTGTTTGGACCTCACCCAAGCACAAGTGGCAGAGTAGCGGGGACAGGAGATGCCCGCCCGGGACAAGCAATGCCTGGGAGTTTTCAGGGGAGCCTGCAGGATGGGTCTGCAGGACAGAGAGAGGCAGGGGATTCTGTGGGAAACTGCAAGTAAGCCAGGACCACAGGGGAATGGTAGGAAGACACATTTGGATCTACAGCCAGAGCTATTCTCCAGGGCAGAGGGAGGCCTTCAGAGGGTGTGAGCTCTGTCCTCAGAGGTGAGCAAGCAGAGGATGAAGGGCTTTCTGCCACGGTGTGCTGTGGTGTGTCTGTGTTAAGTCTATCTGCAGGTCTGAGAACCTGTGCTATGAATTCCAAAGTGTCTGCTTGCATCTGTGTGTGTATGAGCACATTCATGATGCTCAAGAGAGACGGCGTGAGATAGATGGCGAGACTGTTCATACAGGCAATAAGTGCAGGAAAAATGCACAGCCAGGAAGTTCTTGCTGTGAAACCCTGCTCCCTCCGGCTGCATTTCAAGAAAAAGAAGATGAGATTTCTGCTCAGTCCTGGCTGCTTTGGCTCCACCTCCTTCCCCTGGAGCTCCAGAGTGCCCGCACAGGGACGAGAGCCAGAAGGGGTGATGCTGACACCTGGCTGAGGTTTGGGGGAGGTGACAGTCTCCCCTGCCTGAGGATTTCCTGGTAGAAGAACCCAGCAGGCCTGAATGTATGTAGGAGGCTGTCTGCTGGGCTTCCCAGGGGCGGGCCCTGACCTCTCCACTTCCCAGGTCCACCCCAGGAGATGCATTCCTCTCTCCTCTGTGGCCTAGGATCTGGGGGGGGGGGGGAGCCTCTCGCTTTCAACTTGTCCCTTGCCTCCCTGGGAGGAGCTGAGAGATCAAATGTCTGCCTCAAATCTCCCACTGCTCCCTCCCCCAGCCTGAGCCATTGAGTGCCTCCTATGTACTTCAGCCCAATGGGACACACCTTCCCCGGCATAAAGGGCACCCTGGTAACACTGCAGCTCAAGTCACTCATGTACTCAGCATATACAGAGCACCTGCTGTATGCCTATCCCTGTGCTGGGAGCTGGGTGGAAAAGAATACAACACAGGGTGATATGGTATTCAAAAAATGGAGACCTTTGGCCAGGTGCTGTGGCTCACCCTGTAATCCCAGCACTTTGGGAGGCCAAGGTGGGCAGATCACCTGAGGTCAGGAGTTCAAGACCAGCCTTCAACACGGTGAAACCCTGTCTCTACTGGAAATAATAAAAATTAGCCCGTCTTGGTGGTGTGTGCCTGTAATCCCAGTGACTCATCTGCTCTGGAGGCTGGAACGCGAGAATCACTTGAACCCGGGAGGTGGAGGTTGCAGTGAGCCATGGGGTTACTGCACTCCAGACTGGGTGACAGAGTGAGACTCTGTCTCAGAAAAAGAAAAAAAAAAGAAAAAGAATATTTGTGGGAGCACAGAAGAGGACCCTTAGCTCAGTCTAGGGAAATCAGAAAGGCCCCTGGGGAAGGAGACTTTTGACCTGACTCTCATGGATCCAGTGTTCACCAGGAAGTCAAAGAGAAGGGTTTCCTGGGAGAGGCACAGTTCATAGAAAGCTGTAGGACTGAGCCAGCTCATCAAAGCCCTGAGCCCTAAAAGAGAAAGGGAGCTGTCTGGGTGGGGCTTGAGGATGGCGGGCATGGTGCCAGTGGGTGAGGATGAGAAGGGAATCAAGGGCCTTGGACTCAGGCCCAAGGGCCAAGGCTGTGGGGGGCACTGGAAGCTGTTCCCAGTGAGGGGGTGGGGTGATCAGTGTGTGTTTTAGTTACGCCCACCTTTGCTGCATGGCGGCGCATGAGAAGGAGCTGGGGCAGGAGATCAGAGGAGGCCAGTGTCTGTCATGTCCGGGTGAGTCAGATGGCAACCGTCTGGACTAGGGGAGAGGTGGGGAGCAGGGGTCTGATTGATAAGAGATTTCAGAGAGAAAATCGTTGTGATTTTCAGCACGATGGGCAGGGTCAAGGGTACTTTTGAGTCTCTGGCCACACAATAGGGTAGATGGAGACCCCCTACACTGTTGGAGTCGGGTGAGTGTCCGAAAATGGTCCTGAGCTCAGAGTAGTCTTGTTTGCTGCCTTTGAGGAGCCTTCAATTTATTCAAGGGAAGATGTAGCGTCTATCTCTGCTGCTGACACAGACTTTCTCTGTGCCTGGGATCTTACACGTAAGAAGTCACTTAATTCTTACCCAACTCCATGGGGTAGGTACTATTACTATCCTTACTCACAGATGGGGAAACTGAGGCACAGAGGGGTTAACTTGTCCAGGGCCACATAGCTAGTCATGGGCCAACCAAGGTCTGAACCTGGCTGGCCTCAGAATCCATGCCCTTAACCTTGATGGTTGTCATAGGGAGAAGGTGAATGAAGCCATGTCACTAAATGACA